TAAAGCTCATCTCATTCCAGCATCCTTCCACTAGAAAATGATCCACTCATTGCAGCCAGGGAGCAGCTCGGAGCCCCAAGGGGTGGGTCCACAGCCTGATGCCATTCCCAGCCATGGCAAACCCCAGGGGTGAGGCTGGCAGCAGCCCTGGTGGCACAGCTGCCCTGCTCAGCCCTCAGGAGATGGCACAGAAGATAAAAAATAATCTGTGAGCACAAAGGGAGAGGGAAGAGCAGCAAAGCGTGGCAGGGCTGCAGGGCCATCACGGTTTCTGCCTTCTCACTATCCCTTCTGCCACAGCCATGTCACCTGGGCAGGAGCAGCAATTCCAGGACTGTGCTGAGGTGCACCGGGCAGGCATCCATGCCAGTGGCATCTACACCCTGCACATTGCCAACCTCAGCGAGCCCAAAAAGGTGAGCACAGTCCAGAGAGGGCTTCCCTGCCACACCCTGGAGTGTCGCCCACCCAGTGCACACCAGCCCCACACCAGATCCCTGTTGCCTGGCACATCCCAGGGCAGTTTCCCCACCCCACCCAGCCTTGGGGATGAAAGCAGGGCTGGCACAACCTTCCAAATGAGGGCATAAATCTGATTTTAGTCACCCTGACTTATACACACCAGGCCCCAGCCCCTGTCCACAGCCATGGGGGGAGGACAGACCCCTCAGCCGGGCACGGGCACAGCACACCCTCAGCAGCCCCTCAGCCAGCTCTGGCACCCACAGAGCTCCCACGCTGAGCTGCCCAGCCTGGCAGGGGTGCAGCTGGCTCCGAGCCACCCTCAGGTGTCCCTCGCTGCCCTTGCAGGCATTCTGTGACATGGAGACGGATGGAGGGGGCTGGACCATCATCCAGCTGCGTGCCAACGGCAGCCTCAGCTTCCAGAGGGGCTGGAGGGAGTACAAGCAGGTGTGTGCCTGGCCGGGCAGGGGGACACCCTGGGGGCACCCCGGGCACCCTGAACACCCACCCTGCTGCTCCACAGGGCTTCGGGGACGCGTCGGGGGAGTACTGGCTGGGGAATGAGGCCGTGCACCTGCTGACCAGCCGGGGGCCCTACGCCCTGCGGGTGGAGCTGCAGGACTGGGAGGGCGGCCAGGTGTTTGCCCACTACGGGAAATTCCAGCTGGGCAGCGAGCGGCAGTTCTACAGGTAGGGGAGAGGCGCTGTGGGAACAGCCACCCCCAACTCCCCAAATCTGAGTGTCCCCAAGCCCTGTGGGCAGCAGTGCCCAGGGGGAAGGGCTGGGGGGGTGTCCCAGATCACCTGGGGTGATCAGCTTCACTGAGTTGTCCTGGTGTAGTTATGGTGCCAGGTGCCAGGCACATTGCTGTGACACTTTCATCTTTCCCTGGGCTTCTGAGAAGTAGATTTTTAATGTCTAAAATTGCATCAAGGCAGTGGGATTTGCCATCCCAGTGGGAACATGGGCACTTGCACTGAGGCTCTTTGTTTGGGCAAGGGAGGTGACACAGCTGTGGCCACCAGGCATTCCCAGGGGTGTTGGGCTTCCCCAGGCTGTCCATGTCCACGAAGGGATGCTGTGCCCCTAATGCTCAGCTTGCCATGACCATGTACTCCTGGCCATGGGCAGGAGGGTGGAAAGCAGCTGGGCTGGGGGTGGAACCAGACCCCAGACATGCCCTGCACCATCCATCCCATGCATGCACCGAGCTGACCCCAGCAAAAGGACCAGAGGAGACCTGGGGTCCTCTCTGCCCCAGCATACCACAACCCCACTCTTGGGGGCCAAGGACACGATGCCAAGCTGGAACTGCAGGAGCTCTGCCCACATCCCCCTGTGCTGCGTTCAGCTCCTGGCAGCCCCTGAGCAGCGCTGGGGGCTCTGTGCCCCCCTGGCAGCCGGCAGTGACAGTGGCTGTGTTCCCTGGGCACAGGCTGTCCCTGCAGGACTACAGTGGCACGGCTGGGCAGCAGAGTGGCCTGGCACTGCAGGGCACCCAGTTCAGCACCCGTGACGCCGACAACGACAACTGCCTCTGCAAGTGTGCCCAGATGCTCTCGGGAGGTGAGTGGAGCAGGGGGACGCCCCCACGCAGCACCCACGGGTGCCAGCCTGCCACGCCACCTCCCTGCCCTGCTCCCTTCCCACAGGATGGTGGTTCGATGCCTGTGGCCTCTCCAACCTGAATGGCATCTACTACCCGGCCCGGAACAACATCCGCAAGCTCAACGGCATCCGCTGGCACCACTTCCAGGGGCCCAGCTACTCCCTGAAGGGCACCCGCATGATGATCCGACCCAGCAGCTTCTGACGTGCCCACGGCAGTGCCAGCACTGGGACAAGTCCGGGACAAGGGATGGTTGGGGCGGCTAAGATGCCCCAGCTGCTGCAGGGAAACTTTGCCATGAGTTTATTTTTTTACTCTCGTTTATCCCGTTTTTCAGAAGTCTGCAGTGTCACCACGGGCATGCTGGAGGAGCTGTGGGCAGGGGTGAAGGGCACTGCAGGAGCTGCAGGAGTGGGACAAAGCCAGACGTGCCAAAGTGGGCTCCAGCATATGGAAACCCCCTGATCTCACCTCAGCTTCTCTCCCCAAATTTCTGCTGGGCCTCGGGGTTTTGTCTTGGGGACAGAGCTCCAAGACCCCCCTGGTGATGGGGCTCTGAGAACCTCTGAGACCATGTGCATTCAGAGGGACCCCAGACATGATGGGGGCTTTGCCTTTTCACTGGTTCTGGATACTGTAAATCCCCCACCATCCCACTTTCCTGCAGGATTAGAGGAGCTGGCTGGGACAGGAATCCTGATAAGCATGGGGGCTGGTGGTGTCCCTCCTTCCCCTTTTGTCCAGACACAGCCATGCAGAGGGCCACAGGCTGTCCCCTTAAGCATGGCCCGAGCCACTGTCCCCATCTATGGGGACAGTGCCATGAGGACAGGCACTTCCCCTCACGGGATGGAGCTGGGTTTCTCCAGCTCTCAGAGAGGACAGGAAGAGCAGGGGGTGTCCTTGGGGACCTCCATGGGGACCAGTCCTGGGATGGCCAGTGGCCCAGTTCTGGAAGGCGCTTGCTGGGAGCAGACACTGCAGTGGCAGGGGCTGGCAGGGCCCCAGGACGGGCAGGAAGGGGCTGGGGGCTCCTGGGTGGGGAGGGGGCTGTGGGTTACAGGGGCTGGGAGGTGGTGGGTGCTGGCACCGACACCGGCTGTGCACGCAGCAGCGGGGGGCTCCTGCTGCCTGCCCTCATCACTGTCCCGAGGCACCCGCTAATTAACGCTGATTAAAGCACGTGACGCTGTTGGCGCTTCCAGAAGATGCTCATCAGTGGGGAATAATTAAAAAATGGAAAAAACGGGGGGCGGTGCTGCCGGTTTTCCTTCTGTCCTGGCTGGCTGCCTGCAGCTCCTGCCTGCTCGTGGGGCACCCGTGGGGAATCTCAGCGCAGAGGGTGAGGGTGATGGACATTTCCCCGGCTGTCCCTCCTCCCTGGAATAACTGACGGCCTCAGCTGCGCTCCCTGTGAAACTGGAGCCACCGGGAAGCAGCTGCCAGGGAAAGTGATAGGGAGCGTGGGGCTGTCCCCAGAGGGGACATGCAACGGGGGGGCGTTCTGGGGGACACGTGTGTCTGAACGTGTCTGTGCCAGGGTTTCATGCTGGCAGTCCCGTGGGTGGGGGTCAGATGGAGACTCCAGGTTCAGGAACAAGGCTTCTGTGTGTGCACATGGAAATGCTGCTCACAAACACGTGTGCACATGGACACACAGACATCCTGCGTGCACACGTGAGCACACAGGGCTTTGGGTGGCCGTGTCACATCCCCTTCATGCAGGGCATGGGACACCAGAGCCACAGCAAGGACTGGCAGCACCTGAGGGAGCTCAGCCCTTGCCTGGCTGGGGACTGGTGGGCCCCCCCTCTTCTCCTCAGCAATAGCAACAAATTTAGACCAAGCTCTGGGACACACCACGCTGAGGAATCCGGCAGCACAGCCGGTCCCAGCCACCAGCGAGGATCTGGTTCCCTCAGAGATTTCCCCAAGGGCAAAGCCTGTCCCCAGGCGATTGCCCAGAGTCCCTGTCACCCTCTGGTTTCCGGAGTGTTTTCCTCAGGGAGGCACCCAGTGCCCTGTGTGCCATCATTAAGGCTCCCCTGGGTGTGCGTGTCCCCCCCAGAGCACTTCATCAGCCTGACTCACAGCCACATGCCATCCCCGTGTCCTGTCACCACGTCCTGCCACCACATCCTGCCCTCCACATTCCCAGCAGCTGGACCTGACAATAACCCAGCAGGAGTCACATGGACCCTGCACCCTCAGCAGGGGATCTGTGTGGACACACAGCAGCACAGAAATCAAGCTGGGCTGGTAAATTCTTCTTTATGACAGCTTTTCTGGGGACCCCAAGGGCTGGCTGGAAACCCCAGCCAAGGGGCCCGTGGTGCTCCTTGGCCTGCAGCTGCTGGGGAGCTGCCACTGAAGGGAGGCAGAGGAGCCCCAGGGTTCAGGTGGGTCCCTGGGTGCAGGTGCTCGCTGGTGGCTTTGATGTCACCTTCCCCAGCAGACACCCGGGACATGAGGAGCACGGTGACTGCAGGGCACAGGTGGCACCTGAGGTGGCGGGGGAGCCGCGGTGCCATGCCAGGCTGCCCTGGGAGAACACAGGGGTGCTTTTCATCTTCAAAGCGCTCCCCGCGCCAGCTTTCATCCCAGCCCACCTGGGAGGCCTCTGCTGCTGCCGCCCCCATCTCCCAGCTCTCGGAGAGCCGGGACCTGGCCAAGCTTTGCAGGAGGGAGGGAAGGAGGCAGGGAGGGTGCGTGGCACAGAGGGGAATCCCAGCAGCCGGGGCTCTGCCGGGACCTGCCGGAGCCAACCGCCGCCCCGCCGTGCCCGCCGGGCCCCGCGCTGGCACGCTGCAGCACGGAACCCGTGACTCCCCTCCAGCACCAGCCACTCAGCACCCACAGCCCCACAGGGCACCCCAAGAGCCCCTGTCCCATCCCAAACTCCACCATCCCAAGAGACAACACACAGCCTCCAAAACACAGGTGTTTAATAAAACTGGCTGCATTATAATTATTATTATTATTTACAGACCAAACATAAGGAAAAGAGTAGAAAAAAGGAATTGTCTTCATAAATACCAGGCCCAGCATGGTGGGGACTTCTTGCCCACTGGCAGCCAGGAAGGGGAGCACAGGCACCCACAGACACTCACACAGACACACAGCCCTGGGCAGCTTGAAGCAGGGGTCAGGTTGCTCCCTCACCCCTCAAAGCACCAGGCTTTTCTTCAGCAATAAGATGGGACCACAAGGATGTGGCCACCACCCCAGGCAGTGGGACCCCTTCCGTGGAGGCTGCAAGGGGACAGCTCCTTCACTGGTGCAGGTCCTTGCTCCATGCAGGGGGACCCAGCCCCTTGCACCCCACCCCAGGGCGCTGGTGAGGAGCAGGACAGGCAGGAGCTGCCAGCAGTACAGGCAGGGCAGCCGCACATGAGGCCCTGTGGGTGTTGAGGACCAGCCCCACACCCAGGGACACGTGTCCTCTGCCTTCCCACGAGCTTGCAGGGCCCTGGTCCTCCAGTGCTGGCACAGGGGTCTGATCCCTGGCCACATCAGGCCAGTGATGCTGTGGCACAGCAGGGCTGAGTTCAAGGGTCCTGTCACCACCAAGAGCTCCCTGGTCTTCCCAGGGCACAGCCAGCGCTTTGTCCCCATCCAGCACTGCCCGCCTATGAGCGACCCATCCCAGGTGCCCAGCACGGCACTGCTACACATCGGAGACCTGCTGGGGCTCCCTGGCCTGGCGCAGCCCGTACAGCCACTTGATGACGCGGGCGTTGCGCTCGATGATGGAGATGCCGTAGGGCACCCGCTCCGCCGGCCGGCCCTCGGGGGTGGCGGCGCTGGGCGGCGAGCGGCCGCCCTCCGAGCTGGCCGTGCTCACGCTGTGGAACTTGAGGGACACGATGTCAGAGCTGGCGCGGGCGAAGCGCTCGGCGCCCATGTCCTGCATCTCCTCGGGGTCGAGGCCGCAGTAGTTGAAGAAGCGCTCCAGGTCGGCGGTGGCCCTCGAGAGCCGATCGCTCAGGTCCGACTTGGAGCGGTGCAGCAGCGGCTGCCGCCGGGCGCTCTCCGGGCGGGCGGGTGAGCCCCGCGACGGGGTCACGGGCAGCCCAGCCGGCATGGGGGATGCGGGCAGCGGTGTCGCTGGGCTCCGCGGAGCCGCACAGGGACGGACGTCCACCCTCCGCACGGCCACACTGCCGGGGGGCTTGGTGGCGGCCGGGCTCTCCGGTGGCTTCACAGCCGCCTCCACGGCCGGCGCTTCCGCCCGCCACCTGCACTCCCTGCCCAGCGGGCTCTCCGCCTTGGGGAAGGGGCTGTCACAGAGGTTGATGAGGTTGTTGAGGATCTCCAGGTCAAGGGAGGTCTTCGGGCTGGCAGCGTCGGCGCGGCGCGGCCCCGGGGGCGCCCTGCGGCTGGGGGTGAGCACAGCCCGGCGCGCCCCGGGGGAGAACAGGGGCTGCTTGAGCAGCAGCGGCTTCACCGGCTCCTGCTTGGTGCTGGCGACCTTCTGGCTCTTCACGTACTTGGCCTTGTCGGCCTCCAGCCTCTCCACTGCGCTGGGCTTCCCGGCCCCCGGCTCGGCGTGCCGGCGGAAATACGCGGGCCCTTTGCGGAGGATACGGACGGGCATGGCCGAGGTGAAAGGCACCGTCACCCCCTTCATGGTGTCACCGGCTTGCAGCGCCTCGACGGGCATCCTCCGTGCCGGCAGCGGGACACGGGTGAGCGGCCGCCACGGGCAGCGAGGGGCTCGGGCGCCGTCGGCTGCGGAAAGGGGCCGGGAGTGAGAGCGGGGCCGGAGGGAGAGCGGCGGCGATGCTGCCCCTGCCCGCGCCCCGGCCCCTCGGCAGACAAAGCCGGCCCGGGCTGTGCGGCCCCGGCTCCGGGCCGCCTATTTGAAGGCGGTCACCACGCCTCCGCCGCCGCCGAGCCTCCCCGGCGAGCGCCGCGGCCAATCCGCGCCGCACGCCTGCTTCAAACCGCGCCGGGGCCAATGGCGCCGGGCCCGGCGAGGGGCACCCTGCGGGGACACGGGGGCGGACAGAGACAAGCAGCCCTCACTGATGCTCTGCCCGAGCCGCAGGTGCCGGGGGTGCATCGCCCGCCTCCAGGGGTGCATTGCATGTGCCCATCGTCCCTGCTCAGGGGTGCACTGCTCACAGCCAGGGGGGAATTCCTTCACTCAGTGCATCGCCCACCCCCAGGGGAGCACTGATTGCTCCCCGGGGTGCCTCATCTGCATCCTTGCATCGCCCATGCTCAAGGGGGCATTGCCTGCTCCCGGGCGTGCATCCCCCATGCCCAGGGATCCGTCACCCAGCGCCCTGCCGGGCTGGTGGGTTCGGTGCTCCGCTCCCTCTGTTGTTCCCTCATCTCTCACAAGCTGCTCCCAGGCTCCCTGCTCTCACCCTGGAGCTCCTTGGAAAGCAAGTGGAGTACCCGGGGGTTTCCACTCGTGCTTCCCCGGTGTGCTCGGGGCAGCGTGAGGCCCTGTGCACCCGCGTCCTTGGGTCCCTGCCAGCCCCAACAGGCGCAGCCGCCACAACGGCCGCACCAGCCCGCCCACAGCGAAAAGGGGGGGAGGGCACCCAAACCAGCCCTCCACCCTTCTGCAGCCCCCTGAGCAGAGCTGGACACACCCAGAGTAGCCCCAATACCCAGAGGGGCTCAGCAGTGGCAGGGCACACGGGAGCATATATGGGTCAGACCCCCTCCCCCAGCCCCTTTCCCAAGCTGCTCTGAGATTCCTCCTGAGGGTCCCGATTTGGGGCACCGATGAGCCCGAGGATGTGGCAGCAAGCCGCAGCACTCACCAGGTGCAGTGGTGGGCAGGGCGGAGCCGCTGTGCTGTGGCCTCGCTCGCTCCCGTGGCAGCCCCGAGCCGGCAGCTGCCACCGTCACCCGCTCACCTGCGTGCACAAACTTCCTGGGAGTGCCTGTCCCAGCGGCAGGAGCCAGCCCTGGCACCCACAGCCCCGCCGAGCCGTGGCTGAGCCATGCCTGCACCCCCTAGCCCCCCACAGGCGCCACATTCCCCAGAATCTGGACCCCAGCAGGATCCCAGCACAGCACACGGTGCATCCCCGCGACACGCTGTGACAGACGAGTGGCCATGGGGGAGGCTGGCTGGCCCTCTCCCTGTTCCCGTCCCCTGCCTGGGGGGACATGCTGCCTCCTGACCTGGAAAATGTCTTCAGGGGGCGGCCAGGCGTGCTGACAGCTGGGAACGGTCCCAGCACGGGCACAGATCCTCCTGCCTCCTCCCCGGGCCAGATTTCTGCACCCTCTGCCCGACCCCTCGGGCCCAGTGCTGCCCAGCCCCTGTGCCAATGGCCAGCTTCACTGCCCTTGCACCTGTGCCCAGCACAGGGAGCGCTCCCCGGTTCAGCACGGGGGTGCAAAAGTATCCCCAAGCAAGGCAAAGATGGAAAATGTCCCCATGTCAAGCACTGGAGCTCAGCCTTGTACCAGACACCCAGCCAAGCCACAGAGGAGATGGCTGTGAAGTGCAGGGACAAGGACACGGCAGCCCCAGCACAGCCACCAGTGGCCGGCGTGGGGACCCCTCCCCAGCACGGACAGCCCGGCCGGGCACAACCTGCTGCTCCACATTCCTGCAGAGCTGAGCCACTGCGCTGGCACGGCCTCACCGAGCTGGGCTGCACCGAGCAGAGCAGAGCCGAGCGGAGCCGCCCTCCCAACAGCCCCAAAAACTCTGCAGCACAATCCCATGCCCCAAACCCAGCTGGAGTTCAGGGATCTGAGCTCTGGGCATTGCCCAGTGTGGCCCCAGCTCCTCTCCCTCCTGGGGTGGGCAGTCCAGCCAGGCTCACATGGCACAGCAGGTCACCCCCAGCCTGGAGGAGCTGCTCCAGAGGTACACGGCTGTGACCCCTTCCCCAGCTCACCCAGCCCCGCTCTGCTGGCACTGGACCAGCACCCCCTCTGCCACCCACCTGGATTGGCCCTGCAGCGTGGGAGCCTCCTCGGCACGGATCAGCTGCCGCCCTTCTTCTCCCTGCTCTCTTTCCGAGGGTGTCCCGATGGTGTCCCGACGGTGTCCTGCTGTCCCCACCACGTCCTGCCGGTGTCCCGGCGCGATGGCGGCTGGCGGGTGCTGGAGCAGTTCTGCATGCGGCGGCTCCGCTGAGTCAGCGCCGGGCGAGGACGCCCTCCGAGGCAAATCAGCGCTCGCATGGGATGGAAAGCACGGGGCATTCCTCCGTGCCAGCTGCGTCACGGGTGCCTGGTGACGTCCCAGCTGCCGGTTCAGCCCGCGATGCCGGCCTGGCAGCCTGGATGCACACACGGCCCGAGGTGCTCACAGTGACAAATCCAAAATGCTTCTGGATGTCGCTGCTCGCTGTGGGCAGAGGGTGCTGGTGCTGGGTTAGGGCTTCCGGGACACAGGGGAAATTCCCAACCTTGATGTGGGCACCCAGATTCCCTCATCTCACTGCTATGGTCAGTTGGCACGGCCTACTCTCATTTGGAAATCTCATCTTGTTTCTCCGCTCACCCAGCAGCAATAAACTCCAAAACATAGGAAAATAAACTGGATAGCAGGAAGGGAGGTAACAGACAGGGTCACCAAGCCTGCAGCCACTTGGACCTGCTGGTCTGAACCCAGCCCAGGCAGGGTGACTCCTGCCCCATGGTACGGGCATCTCTGTTCAGCTCTGCACAGAGGGAATGAGCATTTGGCTCATGTTGCAGAGCTCGGTTACAGCCCTGCATTGTTCAAACACTCCTGCAGCAAGACAAGGAGCTGGTGGAGGGAGAGGGGCCAAGGGAAGCACACAGTCTGGGAGCCAGAGGGCTGCCCTGAGCCCAGATTCGCACAACGGGCTCAGCTAGAAAATCCCCGTCGGTAGGTGAGGGCAGGGCCCGCGGGCTGCGTCCCCCACGGGTGCCGAGGCCGTGCGGGCACAGGCAGGAGGTGCAGGAGCTGCTCGGGCACGTCTGGCCCGTTGGAGCGGGGTGTTGGATCCGGCAGCGCCCCAAGCCTCGCCCTCCCCGGGAGCAGCCCGGGACATGCCCCGGGAGCACAGCGCCCTGCAGGAATGCTCCCCCAGCATCCCCACCGCTGCCCCCGAACACAGGGACGGTGTTTATGAAGAAAGGGACAACGAGGTGCTGGCAGTGCCTTTGCTCCCACCTTCCACAGACACCCTCGTGCCACTGCCAGGACCTCCTGGATGTTAAATTTAGCTGCCAACGAGCAGAAAACACACTCAGCAGCCAATTCCCCCCTGGAAGTGCTGGGTGGAGGCAGCTACGGGTGCCTGGCAACACCTGCCAAGCCGCAGGGCTGGGCCTCGGCAGGGTGGGCACCCCCACACAGAGCTGAGAGCTCCCCAACCCCTTCATCTTGAGTGTTAACTCCCAGTGTTTTATTGCAGCCTGTTGCCGTGCCCCAGGATAAACCACCACCTGCTCCTGGCTCAGTTTCCCCAGCAAGAGCTCCACAGAGCTGCTCCAGAAGGAACACGGGGACATGTTCCCCATGGGGAATAGGGAGGCACCCGCTGCACCCAGCATTACCCCATTCCCTGTGGGCAGAGGGAATGATGTTCCCTGCACCCGGATGTTCACACTCGGTCTCTGCTCAGGGATCCGGGAGCCAGGGAGGTGACAGATGGGGACATGCCGGGCACGGGGCCTTTGTCTGGCCGGTGGTGGCGGCGGCACAGACCCGCAGATGGCGGCTGCCGTGGGGCCGTGGCCGCAGCCCATGGCCAGGCAAGCACTGGGCCCTGGGGATCCGGCCCTTTTGTTGGGGTCTCACCTCCGGCAGCGGCCCCTTCCCTGCTGCCCCCCACCAGCCTTTCCACTTTCAACTTGACCTGCTCCTTTCACATGGAAATGGGATGCAAATAGGGCTGGGGCTGGGGCTGCCAGGGTCCAGGCTGAGACCCGCCAGCAGGTCCCCAAATCTGGGGGTCATACCCTCTCAAATAGGGTGGCCAACAGTCCCTGGAGTGAGGGGGTCCCCTTGTCCCCCAGCAATGGAGCAGCAGCCACCCCCTGCCCAGGCAGACCATCCCCACTGCTCACACATGCAGTAAGATATTAGGGGGTGGGTCTCACTAGGGCCTCACTCAAGGACAGACCCCTGCTTTTCTGGGCTGTCAGTCTTTCCATGCCACCCTGTCACCCCCATGGCACGGGCAGTGTGCCCACCCTGGGATCCGTGCTGCACCCCCTGGCAGGTGCTGGCTCGCAGTCAAGGCTAGCTAGAGCCTAGCCCTGGCTGGGTGAGGAGGGGGCTTCCAGGAGGGATGGCCAGCACAGCCCAGCAAAGTCCCGCAGGCAGGGACCACTCGGCTACCAAATGTTGCCATCTGCTCGGGGCCTTCGCTCGCATCTGCCGGGGTGCGGAGGGGCCGGGGCCGGGAGTTCAGCTGCGGGGCGGGCAGGGGGCGGAGGAGGCACGGGCAGCGCAGGCAGCACGCGTCGGGTGCATTCGGGTGAGGAGCGTGAAGGGGCGACACGGGGGTCCCACAGCCAGCACCCCGCCGAACTGCCTCTGCCCCGGAGCCATTCGCCCTTGGGAAGGGTCTCGCTGCCGGCTGAGCCGGCTCTTTGTGCCGGCAAATTAAACACAGGACAATTGCCGTCCCCTCCCTGTCCCCATGCCCGTGGACACACCATGACCTCAGCTGCCCCACACCCACCCCAAACTCGCTGTGCCCGGTTTCCCCAGCACCTTGCACCTGTTCCCAGCTTCCAGGTCCCCTGGGTTCTGTACTGGTTTGACTGGGATAGAGGTCATTTTGCCACAGGAGCCAGGGCGGGACTGTTTTGGAGTTGTGCTGAAAGCAGTGCTGATAACCCAGGAGCGTCTGATCTTGGCTGAGCCATGTTCACAGAGCTCCAAGGACATTTCTGCTCCTCCTGCTGCCCCACCAGCGAGTGAGAGCATTGGGGGTGCATAGAAATTGGGAGGGGACGTGGATGGAACAGCTCTGCACCCCCCCTCTCCCCCCCGGGATACCCCGGACTGTAGGACATCCACATTTTTCCTATTAAGCTGATCAGTTAAGTCCCTTTTACCATTTTATCTGTTCCTATTTTTTATCCCATCCCACCGAGGGTGTCTGTGTGAGTGAGCAGTTGAGGGGGGCCGAGCAGCCTGCTGGGATTAAATCACAGCAGCACCTCAAACTGTGACCAGCCCCCTCCACTGTCACCCAGTGTCCCTGCAGCCCCGGGGACGAGACTTGTCCCCGCTACACCCAACGGTCCTGGCTGCCATGGGTGCTCCCACAGGCGCAGGGGAGGGTGGAGGAGCAAACTGCAGTCCCCCGGAGGGACAAGGGACAGGGACAGGGACAGGGACAGGGACAGGGACAGGGACAGGGACAGGCACTGCAGGCAGGTAGGGCAGGGAAGCCGGCGGGGAAGCAGACGGAGAAGGCAGCCCCAGGTTTTGCAGGGCTGCAGCCCGCTCTCCCAGCGACACCCGGTGGGTGCTGCGGGAAGAGCCGCCATGAGGCATCCTGGGGCGGTGGGTCCTGGGTTTTGGGGGGGGGGATTGCTGCTGGGGGTGACCAGGGGTCTCTGTCCTCACCCGTGTCACCTCCCGGCCGCTGCAAATGGTTCATCCGCTGGCTCGCGGCTTGGTCCCAGCACTGTCCCGAGGTGGGACAACTGCCACATGCGGGGGTTCCCCAGCGCCCCATGCCACCCCGTGACCCCGCAGAGATCCCGATGGGGACAGAAACCGTCATCGGGTGACACTTGCACCTGCAAGAAGAGTCTGTGATAGGTGGGACGCAGTTCAGGCGGGGACAAGGACAAAGTCCAGGACGCCGCCAAGAATTATAACCCCCCTGAGCTCGGGACTCTGCCAGCCGGGGCCAAGACGAGGAGCAGAGCAGGGCCAGGCTGTCACCGGTCCGCATCCGGAGGTGGTGACGCGCCCGCCTCACGTCACTGCTCGGGCGGCCAGGACTGGCTCCCGCCCGCGTGGTGCTGCCGGTTTCCCAAAGCGCAGTGAGTGACCCCTGGGAGCTTGCCGAGGCACCGGTCCGACCGGAGCCCGTTTCCTCCCCGGCCGCCGCTGCCTCCCCGCGGCATGGCCGGGGCCACGGCCGGGTCGTTGCGCCCGCCGGGCTCAGCCCCGTGAGACGTGAGTTTCCTCCGGCGGCCTCCGCGCCCCGGGGAGGGCTGGAGACGGCTCTGCGGGACGGGGGGGACACCGGTAGGGACACGGGAGCTGAGAGTTCCTGCCAGCAGCGGGATGGGAGTGGGCGAGGGATGCGTTCGGAGGCCGGCTGACTCAGCCGGCTGCTCCGGGCAGAGGCTGGGCTGCAGGTTGGGCTGCCCGGGCCTGTCGCCCGCGGCACCGGAGCGTGTCGGAATCGCGCGGGTCCCGGCTGGAAGGGGACGGGCGCCGCGCCGTCCTGCCCTGCAGATGCAGTGGGAGGTACGAGGCGTCCATTCCCAGCAGAGCAGCTGCCCAGCCGATCCGCTCCCAGGTGAGAGCCCCCTGCCCCCGGCCGTGCCGAGCCCTGCCAGGCTGCACGGAGCTGCTACGTGAGCTGGCACAGGTTCAATGCCCTCCTGGGTGTCGCACCTGCCGCTGCCAAGCCCCGGCGCTCTGGGATGAGACCAGGTGAAGCTCATCAGGATCCACACCCAGGGCAGGAGAGCACCGTGTCATCACTTGAAGGGGGCAGAGGGGTCCACGGGGCCTGCAGAGGGCAAAGTGGGGCTGGGTTGGGCTGTGCGTCCCACACCCTCACGGCACGTAGAAGGAAGCTGTTCTGCCAGCGCCGGGGATGGTCATGGGAGGACAGGGCCAGGATCTGGAAGAGTCGGATCTCACCTCACCACTCACCAAAGTCTCTCCCCACAGCACAGCAGCGTCACTTGCAGGCCCAGGCACCCAGCCCTGAGCCATGGCACTGCTCACCCACCTTCTGGCCTGTGCCTTCGGCATGGGCTCCTGGGTGGCCATCAACGGGCTGTGGGTGGAGGTGCCACTGCTGGTGACGGTGCTGCCGGAGCAGTGGTACCTCCCCTCCTACATCACCATCATCATCCAGATGGCCAACGTGGGACCACTCTTCGTCACCCTCATGAATCGCTTTCAGCCTGGCTTGATGAAGGAGGTGGCTGTTATCTATGTGATCGTGTCCGTGGGTGTCATGGCCTGCTTGCTCCTGGCTTTCCTCTGGAACCACACGTCCCTCATTGCCGGGACATCCCACAGCATCGCCTTCCTAATCCTGACCTTCTTCCTGGCCCTGGTGGACTGCACCTCCTCCGTCACCTTCCTGCCCTTCATGATGCAGCTGCAGCCCCAGTACACAAACACCTTCTTCATAGGAGAAGGGCTAAGTGGGCTGATCCCTTCTCTCATTGCCCTGGGCCAGGGCTCTGGTATCTCCAGCTGCATCAATGTCAGCTACGAGGTCAACATCACCACCGGCAATGAGACCGTGGAGAGCACTATCTTCCATCTGGAGACCAGCTACCTCCCACCCAACTTCTCCACCCTTGTCTTTTTCCTGCTGATGACTGCAATGATGCTGACCTGCTTGTTGGCCTTCTTCTTCCTCACCCGGCAGCCCAAGGTGTGGGAGCTCTCTCAGCAGCACCTCTTTCCCAGCAGCATTGTACTGAACTCATTTGACCAGATCCACGACGAGGGAACTGACTTGCACCTGAGCAGAGGCTGCTCATGCCCAAAGGATCCCAAGGGACCTGGGGACATCCTGCCACAGAAGGTCTCCTACTCCCTGACCCAGCTCACCCTCATCTACCTCCTCATCGCCTGGGTGAGCGCCCTGACAAACGGGGTCCTGCCATCCGTGCAGTCCTACTCCTGCCTGCCCTACGGACACACCACCTACCACCTGGCAGCCACGCTCAGCTCCATGGCCAACCCCCTGGCCTGCATCGTGGCCATGTTCCTGCCCAGCAGGTGAGTTGCAGGCCCCTGGGAGCTGCAGCAGGGTGCATGCCAGGGGCTTCTGCCCCAAAAGTGGCCCCTACTTTGCAAGGGTTGGGGGTGTAGGCACTGGGTGGGAGAGGGCTGTGGGGTGTCCATGCCCTGGCAGCACAGACACCCCAGGAAAGGAGGATGGAGCCAGCAAGGAGCCAGGACATGCTGCATGTCTGTGCTGCTCACCAGGGAAAGGTAGTGTTCTCCAGTGACACTCACATGTCCCTTGCAGGTCCCTGGCCCTGATGGTCATCCTCACTCTAGCAGGGACAGGCTTTGGTGCCTACAACATGGCCATTGCAGTGATGAGCCCCTGCCCGCTCCTCCAGCAGTCCCAGTGGGGCGATGTCATCATCGTAAGTCACGCTGTCCCTCTCACTCAGGGAGGTCTTTGACACCACACCTGGACCTGACCTCACCACAACGTCCCCACAGTGGGGAACCCCTGGCCCTGACCACTTTTCCACCTATGCCACCAGGTCCTCTCCTGGGTGCTGTTCACCGGGACGCTCTCCTACATGAAGGTGATGGCCGGGGTGATCCTGCGGAGCCGCAGCCGCAGCGCGCTGGTGTGGTACGGGGTGCTGGAGCAGCTGGGCTCCCTCCTCGGGGCACTGCTCATGTTCCCCCTTGTCAACGTCTATGGCCTGTTCAAATCTGCTGACTACTGCAGCCTGCAGTGCCCAGCATGAGTGGGGTGGGCACCCCGAGACCGCTGCTCTTGCCAGCACGAACTCCCCAAATCAGCGAGGCTGGCTGGCTGGGAAAGCAGTGCTGGGACCAGGACGGCTGCAGACACAGCTCCCTGATGGGCTCTGCCAGGGCGCAGCACCTCCAGGGCTTTGTCCCCAGCCTGGGCACGAGGTGTTCCATCCTGTGAAAGCAATAGAAGGTGTTTTATTTTACTCAGCCCTCTGCCTCCCTGCTGCCTGCACCTCCCATGCTGAGGAGGCTGTCTGTGCCAGTGCCCCCCACCTGGGTACCTCTCAACTGGGGCCATGCCCAGTCCCTTCCCGTGGGGGGTCTGGCACCGTTTGGCATCGTGCCCTAAAGCCCCCCTGGGCACTGTGGGTGGGCACAGCCCCAGCTGCACCGGTGGCGTTCCTGGCCCTGCGCTGTGGCAGCTGCCCCCAGACTGGGGGTTTGCAGCCAGCTGGGGGGAGTGGGGACAAAGGCAGCCGTGGGGAGGGGGATGGTGGGGGAACACGGAACATTCACAGGGCCCCCAATAGCAGCTGGGGAAACTGAGGCACAGTGGGACATGTGTGATATTTGCCACCCTCTGCTGTGGTCCCATCCATGCTTTCTGCTTCCTCCCCAGAGCCCTGTGCCCCCCTGCACCCCATTTCAGCCCTGCTGCACCGTGAGATGGGCAGAGCTGGAGAGGGGCTGCAGCAGAGCCTCACACCACAGCAGTGCAGGCAGCGTGCCCATGGCAGGGGTGGCACAGCACCAGTGCCAGCGCTGGCCCACCTGGTACCTAGCTGTGCCCCAGCCATGCCAGCAGGGCAGGGGCCGGGTGGGCACTGGGGCATGGCAGGCACGGGGGGTCAGGGCAGCGCAGCCCCGGGATGGGACAGCGCCCGTGCCCTGCACGCGCCTGCGCCCCTTCCCTGGGGCACGAGGCAGCCGGGCCTTTGTCCCCGGCCCTTTGTCTGGCATCTGCTCCCTGCGCCGGCGGCAGCACCAGACCACGGATTGGAGCCACTTCGGGGCTCCGGCTGCGACCCGGACGCCTCTGGGAAGAACGAGATTGGAATACCTAATGGCCAGCAGCCCCCCAGGCTGGCAGTGGTGGGAGTCCTGCAGCTGAGGCAGCAGACAGGGCAGGAGTGGGGGCTCTGCCTCCTGGCACTAGTGGGCATCCTCTGTCAGATCCTGGCTGACCCCAGAGCCCGTGCCCAGGATCCATGGAGGATGGGGGAGCTGAGGACCAGGGGGAGATGTGGGGGCACCGCAGGGCAGCTTGTCTCATTCCAATAGCAGGATATGTCCCTTGTGGGTAGACTGGGAGCTGGAGCAGGGACCTGACCTCTCTCCTCCTGCCCCCCAAGAGGATGATCCTACCCTTGGGAGCCCCCAAAACCCCTCACCCACAGTACCCCCCCAGCCCCCTCCTTCTTGTCAGGGAAACAATTGCCTCCGATGGGAATTATTTCCATACAGCTGCTCAGGAAGGCACAAACCCGGTGGAGGAAGGCTGAGCCTTTCTTCTGGCGCTGCTCCCCCTCCCCACAGCGGCGGGGGCAGGTTTGGGGGGGCCCAGGCGCTGCCGTCAGCGCTATCAGCTCGGCAGGGCTGGCTGCGGTTATTACCATACATTATCGCAGTCCCCTGCCTCCGAAAGGAGCCGGGGCTGCTCCCCCCTCCCAGCCCTCCCTCCTCCTGCCTTTTACACTTAATTACCTCCCTTATTACACCGCAGCCTGGAGAGAGACAAAATCCCCGGGCAGCGGGCAGGCGGGCAGCGGGCAGCGGGCGGGCAGCGGGCGGGCAGGCCCAACTAGGGCGTGAGTAATCGCCCGTTCTGCAAGCGTGCCTTCCAGGAGAGAGCAGGCACACGCACGGATAAATGCATCGGGGAGCGCAGGCCCGAGCCCCGTGTGTGTGTGTGCGTGGGATGCCGCGAGCAGCCCGGCAGGCGATGTCCCCTCGGGGCCGCAGCCCTGCGGGAGAGGTGACCTTGAACTTGGCAGAGCCTTGACGTCAGGGCAGCGCTGCAGGGACAGATGGGACTCGTGGTGCTGCCGGCAGTCCCTGGCCAAGGCCTGCGGGAGCAAGTGGAGAGACCCCAGCCCACACGGGGAGTAGCCCGGGGATCCTGTGGGATGTGGAGTGCTGTGGATATGGGATGCTCTGGGATGCGGGATGCTGCGAGCTGTGGGATGCACTTAGCTGTGGAATGCTGTGGGATGCCGTGGGATATCACATGCTGTGGTCTGTGGGATGCTCTGGGCTGTGGAATGATGTGGCTGTGAGATTCCCTGGGCTGTAGGATCCTGTGGGATGCTGTGGGATGCCCTGGGCTGTGGAGTACCACACAAAGCAGCGAGCAGAGGCACTGCGATGCAGGGCTGGCCCCAGATGTGGCTCTGGGGCACAACTGAAGGAGCAGACATGGCTGGGAGCAGGCAGGTGCACGGTGCTGCCTGTGGGGATGCTGCTTTTGGTCCCCAGTGCCACATCCCTGGCCAAAGGGGTTACTGTGCCCAGGGCTGCCCTGTGCCAGCACTCTGCCTGCAGTGACAGCAGAGGCACCGTCCTTATTAAGTGCTGCAACGCTCTGGGCATTGCACAAGGCTCAGGGAGAGCACGGCCAGCCGCCAGTCAGGTCCCTGTGTCACCCACTGGCCCTCAGATGGCACAACTCCGGCCTTCAGGTGGCACAACTGCAGGGAAAGGCAGCCCTGGAGCACCAGCTGCCTGCAGCGGAGCGCGGAGAGGAGGGGGAGTGGGAGAGGGGGCTCCAGTGAGACGAGGGGGGAGTAAGAGTGGGGGCTCCAGACGGGAACAATGAACTGCCACGAGCCCGGCTATTGTTGTGGCTGCGAAGGTCACGGTGCTTCCTGGGGACTGGGAGCGGGACAGGGACATGGGAAGGGAGAGAATGTGGGAAAAGAGGGATGGGAACAGTGGGAAGGAATGGGGACAAGACAGAGGTGGGACAAAGATGAGAGCAGGGAAGAGGGGAAAGGGTTGAGGACAGAGAAAAAGGTACAGGGGAAGGGAGAAGGGAAAGAGAAAGGGGTCAGTGGAAAGGGTCTGTGGACAGAGATGAGAACAGGGAAGATGGATGGGAATGAGAACCGGGAACAGGGATAGGAACAGGGAGCAAGGACAAGGAAAGGAGAAAGGGACAAGAAGCAAGAACAGGGACAGGGATGGAGACAAGACAAGGGACAGGGGACAGGAATGGGGCAGGGGACATGGATGGGGACAGGGATGGGGATGAGGACTCCCGTTCTTCCCTGGCCCCGGGGACTGGCGGCAGGGAGACAAAGGCGGTGGGAGGCAGAGGCATGTGCCCCCCCCCCGTCTCCCCCCGTCCCCCTGTGTCCCCATTGTCCGTGGCCGGGGTGGGAGGAGGAACCAGGGGGAGGGACCAGGGACCCCACAGTGTCGTGATGCCCGGGGCACCCCGCGCTACCGGCGGCTCGGGGGGCTCTGGGGGGGCTCCGGGCGCGGCCGGGCGAAGCGGCCCCCTCCCCCCCCGACCGCCTGCCTTCCTCCTCCTCCTCCTCCCCCTCTTCCCCACCTCCTTCTCTTCCTCCTCCTCCTCCTCCTCCTCGCCGCCCTGCCGCCTCCCCGCCCCTCGCACTCGCCTCCCCGCGCCTCTCCGTGCGCACCGCCGGGGCCGAGCGCCGGGGCCGGGGCGGGGGGGGCCGGGGCCGGTGCGGGGCCCGGGGCCGGTGGCGGTGCCGGTACCGGAGGTGTCCAGCGCTGCCCGGCCCCGCCATGCCCCGCTCCTTCCTGGTGAAGAAGCTGAAAGCGGAGGCGTTCCCGGCCGCCGGGGCCCCTGCGCCCCCCTACGCCCCCCTGGAGCCCCCCTACACGCTGCCCGGCCCCGCCGCCGGCGATGGTGAGTGCGGGGCCGGGGGTCCGGAGGGGCCCCCCCGCCTCTATTGTCTGTGCGCCCGGCGGGGCACCGGGAAGGAGACACGGGGGGACGCCGGGCAGGACGGGGAGGGGGTCCCCGCGCTGTGTCCCGCGGCGGGCGAGGGGTGCGGGATGGGGTGTGTCATCCCTCGCCGTCGGCTTGTCCGCGCATCGGGGGCCGCCGGCCGCTGCCGAAGTTGGTCCTTGGGGAAACATCCCCTGCGTGACAGCGCCAGCCCCGTGGGCAGCCCCGAGACCCCCCCCCGCCGGTGGGACAGCGAGGTGGGCTCCTTCCCACGACAAGTTGGGGGGGTAAGAAGCGGCCGGTCTGCGGGGGCGGCGGGGGGCGGCGGGGGGCGGCAGCCTCGCCGTGCCGGAGGGTTTCATTGTTCGCAGCGGTGCCCCGAGCCCCCCTGGGAGCGCGGGGGGGGCCGGCGCCGTCCGGGGCACGGGGAGCGGGGGGGGAGGCTAGGGGGTACCCCAGCAGCGGGAGAGATGCAAAAGGCTGGACTTGGGGTGGCCGTGGTCCTCGGAATCCCGTCCTGCGGGGGAGCGCCGGGGTGGGCTCGGAGTTCCCCGGGTTGGCACAGCCCCACAACGGGGGCAGCCCAGAAAGAGGGGCTGGCCGTGGGTCGGGGGCTCTGTTGCATAGGCTGGGGAGTTCTGGCTGCTCGTGGATTGGGAAACGGAGCTGGATGCGGGAATGGGCCTGATCCACGCACAAGCTAACACTGCCCAGCCGCTGCGGCGCTTGTCCCCCCTTTTCTGGTGCTCCCCAGCCCTGGGTGGGCTTTTCCTGCCAGGGGCTGGGGTGCGAAGCCTGTCTGGTCTGGGGGTCCTCTGCTCCCCCCCATCAACCAGGAGCCGGTGGGGGAGGGATGTGCTGCAGCTGGGCAGAAGCTGCCGACGCTGCTCTCCTGGAAATAACCTTGCTGCATGCTCGGAGGCAGCGTGAGAAATTGCTGAGCAGAGCGCTTTCTGCACAGCCCGCGCTGTCAGCACGGCGCGGGGGACGGGGGGGCTCTGCCCCTGCCCCACAGCCCCCTCCCCACAGCAGGCACCCCTGGCCACCACGGGACAAACGGCAGCAGTTTCTTGCCAAGGGGTCCCGTGGGTGCTGCCAGGGGCTGTGTGGGTTTAGGGGATGCTCTGCTGGAGCTGTGGTGGGACGTCCCTGCTGCCCCATGGTGTGCGTGGGTCAGCTCAGCTGTGCACTGACCCCAGGCCCCCGACAGCGCCTCTGTCACTGTCAGTGGGGATGAGGCCTCTGAAGCAGCTTGCAAGGACCAGTGTGCACAAGACAGGGGATTGCTGGGACCAGTTTGGGGGTCTTGGGATGCCAGTACATCCCCGGGATTGCTGGCCTGGTGGGAAGGGGGCTGCACTGCTGTGACCTTTGTGTGACAGCACAGAGGGACAGGGATGCCAGTGCAGTGCCCACTCTGACACAGGCTGGGAGACCCACATACGGAGCAGTGTCATGAGCAGACTTGCACCAATGTCACACGTGTGTGACGCCAGTGGAGTGGTACCCGAGCCTGGCTCCACATCTGGGGGGCTGTGGGTCACTCGGTTTGGCAGGAGGCCAGGGACCCGGTGCTGCTGCCCTCCTGGTGCTGTCCCATCTCCAGGGGATAGGCCCTGAGGGGACAGCAGTGAGGTGGGGGGCTTTCCCAGCCCCTTTGCTGAGGAAGGGGAACCTGGAGCAGCCTCATCCCCCTCATCCCGGCTGCCCACGGAGCGTAGCTCATTACCGGCATGGCCCCGGTGAACAATGAGCTCCCGGCACCGACAGCTGTCTGGCAGCTAATAGCCCCTGGGGGCTGCCCGCAGCCGGGGCAGGCGCAGCTGGACCTTCCGCAGCTCCATCCCCAGCTCCCATCTCAGGCAGCCCTGCGGGATGGGACCCATCCTGCTGACAGATGCAGACAGGAGCCAGGCAGGACAATGCAGCTCTGGTGCTCGGTGGCTCAGCCAGGACAGGAACCAGTTTGTGCGGGGGGACAACCCTGGTTCTGCACCTTCTATGGGAAATTTTAACTTGTGGCTTTTTCCTGTCCCTGGTGAGGCTGCTCTGGAGGGACAATGACCCCACTGTGTTATCCCCACAGGGTACCTCCAGCACTGCCTGGCGCCAGCCGGCTACGACACTGACAAGAAGCAAGGCCTGCCACCACCGCCACCAGACCCGGCCTACGCACCCGGCCACGAGGAGTACAGCGATCCCGAGAGCCCCCAGTCCAGCTTTTCCGCCCGCTACTTCAACGGGGAGGCGGCAGTGACAGACAGCTATTCCATGGATGCCTTCTTCATCACGGACGGGCGGTCGCGCCGGCGCAGCGAGAGCCAGCGCCGCGGCGGCCACCGCCACTCCTGCCCCGAGTGCGGCAAGACCTACGCCACCTCCTCCAACCTCAGCCGGCACAAGCAGACCCACCGCAGCCTGGACAGCAAGATGGCCAGGAAATGCCCCACCTGCGGCAAGGCGTACGTCTCCATGCCCGCCCTGGCCATGCACGTCCTCACCCACAACCTCAAGCACAAGTGCGACGTGTGCGGCAAAGCCTTCAGCCGGCCCTGGCTGCTGCAGGGCCACATGCGCTCCCACACCGGGGAGAAGCCGTTCGGCTGCTCCCACTGCGGCAAAGCCTTCGCCGACCGCTCCAACCTGCGCGCCCACATGCAGACCCACTCCGCCTTCAAGCACTACAAGTGCAAGCAGTGCGAGAAGACCTTCGCCCTCAAGTCGTACCTCAACAAGCACTACGAGTCCGCCTGCTTCAAGGGCTCCGAACACAGCTGTGCAATAGGGAACTAGCCCCCCAAGCCCTGTGGCACATCCCCATTCCCAGCTTCATCCTTCTACCCAATCCCCATCCCCATCTCAGCCCATGCCCATCCCTATTCCCCTATAGTTCCCATCCTGTCCCCATCCCCATCCCGTCCCGGTCCCAGTCCCTGTGCCAGCACTCCTGCAGCTGCAGCCAGCTGGTTTGTTGCTGTGCTCAGACTGGAGGACACATCCCCACAGACTCACTCCCCATCTGCTCCCTGGGAAGGGGGTCCCCCATAGTGGGACCCAGCTCCTTTCCCCTGGGTCCCAGAGCCCCCCCGCAGCCAGGCAGGTCTCTCTGCGGGGGACTCACCTGGGGACCTCTTCCTGACCCAGGAGAGACTTTCCTCCCCTAGCTTGTGACGTTCACCTCTATTTATTTAATTTATTACTATTATTTATTTAGAGCTGCTGCTTCTCTTCCCGGGGGATCCCGGGGGAGAAAAGACACTTTTCTGCTCCCCACTAGGAGCAAACCCTCCCCTTGACCCTAATCTTGATGAGACCACAGGCTGGTGTTCCTGCCAGCTCGGCAGGACTGATGGCCACTGAGGCTGACAGAGGGCAGGGCTGCCAGTCACCCTTGGAGCCTCGGGTCCCTGCAGCCCACCACACAGGGCACCCGGCTGCCCTCTTCCCCGTGGCACAGCGTTCACCCTGGCACTGCAGATCCACAGCCCTGGAGTCAGGGGAAGAGCCAAGGGAGGAGCCAGGGGCTTCCAGCAGAGATCCACAGGACACGACCTCCGTTGGCTCCCAGCTCCTGGCTCAGCCAGGCACAACTGGCCCCTGCCACGGGGATGGGGAATAGCCCCCCCAGGCAGGTGCAGCCCCCCTCACCATGCCAAGGGCTGGGCTGGCAGCTGGGCTGGAGACCCAGCCCTGGGGCAGGTAGTACCCAAACCCCCAACCACCCCCCCATGTATCCCCAGACCCCTCTCCAGCCGGCTCCCGGCTCCCTCGCCATCGCCCCCCACCTGCACTCAGGAGGAGGGGGTCAGAGTAGCTGTAAAGTTTGGGTGAGTCTATTTAAATGTTCTTATTTATATTATTTATAACTTATGCTTTTCACTATTTATTTGTCAAGACTGGCCGGGCCATGCCAGCGCTGGCTCGCAGGAGGTGGCAGAGCTGCAGCAGAACTGCCGTGCCCAGGACACAGCCACGGTGACACGGACGGGGACAGGACCCCGAGAGCGGACTGTGTGGCGGGCACGGAGGCAGGAGGGCACGAGCTGGCCCGGCAGCCCAGGCTGCATGTCCTGCAAGCCTCCCACAAAGGCAAAGCCCTTCTCATTTGTCTTCCTTGCTTCCACGGGCTCCTGCTTTGCTCCGTGCCCCGCGCCAGCCCGGTGGGGACGAACCAGCCACTCTATGCAACCTCCCGGCGGAGCGGCCCCGCACCGGCCCCGCAGCAAGCGCCGCGCTCGGCATTCCGGAGCGGGGCCCGACCCACGCCTCCGCTTCCTACCTCGGGCCGCGAGTTGCCACAGCCCCATCACCCCGTGCCGGTCCCCAGCCCTCCGGGACTCAGCCCGGCGCCCCGCGGGGCCGCACTCGCGCACCCCCACACCGTCTTCCTGCGCCGTCTTCCTCCCCGCACCGTCTTCCTCCCGCTGCCTCGGTGCCTGTGTTGGTCACGGGTTGAGTGGGGGTGTCCCTGTCATGGTCCTCGCTGCCGTGGCACGGTGACCACACATCCGCACCCCACAGAGGGGATGAGCATCGCCCTGGCCCCGCGGGCACCCCACCGGGTTTCCCCCACGATGCCGGCGCCGGTCCGCGGAGCGCGGTGTCCTGAGGCCGGCGGGCTCGGAGCGCTGCGCTGCTGCCCCTCTCTCCTGTAAATAGCAGATACTACAGCAATAATTTTCCGTGCATGATAGATTTTTTCTGCCAGGTTTTGTACTCGCCAGCCCCAGTATGACAAGTCTACTGAGATCCGGCCACCCGCAGTATTACTTGTAATGCAATTCAGGGATATAAAAGGGATTTCTGCCACTAACCATGTGTCTTGGGGCATTTGTGTCGGCGGTGGCGGGTGGTGGCACACGAGCTGCCACCCTGCCCATCCCACGGTGCCCTGTGCCCACGCCCGCTCCTGGGCTGGAGCATGGTGGAGAGAACTGCCCCAAACAGAGGGGTGATGTCCTGGCAGCATTTTGGGAACGGGAGGCTGAGGCGCCCTGAGCATTCCACGCTGCCCACATGGCCCTGCCAGCCCTTCAGCCCGTGGGCAGCAGCCAGACAGCCCCTGCTGTGACAAGGAGCGGTGACGGTGCCACCCTGCCCGTGAGAGCGCCGGGGGCTGTGAGCGCGGCAGAGCGCTGACCTGGAAGAAAAGCGGCGTGTGAAATCCCGGCAGGGCCGGGAAGGGCGCCGGGAATGCTCACACACCCCCGGGGCGTCGCTGCGAGGGATGGGGAGGGTTCTGTGAGCAAATTTTATTTGAACTCGCCGGTGACGACAACCCAGTAGAGCCCCTGGTCCCTGGGGCAGACAGGCATTCCTGCTCCCCACCCCTCTTTCCTCATCCTTTCCCGGATGTGGGTGCCAGTGGGGGAAGGCAAATTATTTTTAGCATCCAGCTTGTCAGCACAGACCGAGCTGAGCCCTGGGCTCCCGGTGACATCAGTGCAATCTTTCACCCGCAAAGTCATTGCCAGATTCACCTTGCAAGAAACTAATTCCAGAACCTCACAAAACCATCCCTGACCATCATCTGCAAGCTTCTGAGTCAGCTCTGGGGCTGAGGACCCCTCATGACACCAGGGAGCCAGGGTGAGGGCACTGGGAGCAGCCATCCCCTGTCATCGTGTCCCTGCTGTGGATTCAGGGTGTCCCGGTTGCAGCAGCCAGAGGGGTGGGAGACCCAGTTCCTCCCGGGAGCCTCTCCCCGTTTGGAACATTGGTCTGAATAAATGACCTAGAAAGACTCAGGGCTGAAGGTCTTCGGTGCCTGCCCAGCTGTGGAGCATCCCAGCACCACTGCCCAGCTCTGCAGTTGTTTCACGCCTCATCTGCCTCGCTGTGGAGCCCGTAGGTGCCAGCGCAGCAGGGAGGGGGCTCTGGGTTGGGGTGTGCTCCTGGTACAGCCAGGCAGGAGCGGGGCATATCCCACCTCTCAGCTGCAGGATGACCCGTGGTGCCCCGGCCCGGCCAGGTGGGAGCCGGGACCCGCAGGGGCAGGGCAGGGATCCCAGCACACACGGCGGGGAGCTCAGCTGCCGCATGCCCGTGGGTGTCCCACGGGAAGGAGGAGCCCAGGGCAGCCCTGACCGCAGGCTCTCCGGAGCGGGCAGCGGGCCAGCCGGCTCTGGCACCCGGCCCGGAAATCCGTCCTGCCCCTTCACTGTGACTCTGCAAAACAGTGGGGCGGAGGCCGTGACGATGACGATGGCCGGGCAAGGAGGAAGTAAAGGGGCACGGCTGGGCGCTGCACTGCTCGGGGCACAGCGGAGGGCTCGGCTGAGCACGACAGAGGAAAGCCGAGGCCGGCCGGCAGCCACAGCCATGGCAGAGGCCGAGGACAGGAGCATCCATAGCCAGCACATCTCGGCCGTGCACAACGTGCCCATGCGGGTCCTCATCCGGCCCATCCCGGCGCAGCTGGAGCCGGGAAAGGTGCAGAGCCTGATGGAGACCCTGCAGGTGAGCGCTGCCCCGGGAAGCAGAGGCAGCCCCCCTGCAGCCGTTCAGGGGCGCCGCTGGGGAAGCTGCCAGCACCCAAGCCCTGGCACAGTCCGCTCGGGGGTGTCGGGAGGCTGGGCCTGCCGGGGTGTGTTGCTCTTGGGTGTCTCTTCCCCTTCCCAGGAGGATCCCGAGCGGGTGCCCCCCATCGACGTGCTCTGGATCAAAGGCAGCGAGGGCGGCGATTACTTCTACTCCTTCGGGGGCTGCCACCGCTACGCTGCCCACCAGGCACTCCGCCGGGAGACCATCCCCGCCAAGATCATTCCCTCCACCCTCAGCGACCTCCGTACCTACCTCGGCTCCTCCACGCCTCACCTGCGCTAGCCCAGCGCCCCGAGGATGCCCAGCGCCCCGAGGATGCCCAGCAGCCCCTCCCATCCCTGCTGGTTCCGACCCGTGAGCCCTTGACGCGGATGTGGTCGGCGTCCCCCAGACCTGGAGGGTCCCCGGGGTCCCGGCAGCCGGGATGGGTCGGGAGGAACCGGTACCGGGAGGCGCCCGGCGGGGCCGGCAGGTGGCGCTGTTGTGCCGCGCTGCGCCGCACGGAGCGACCGGGACGGAACGGGAGGAACCGGGACGGGAGGAACCGGGATGGGACGGGAGGAACCGGGATGGGACGGGAGGAACCGGGATGGGACGGGAGGAACCGGGACAGGACGGGGTGAACCGGGACGGGAGGAACTGGGACGGGATGGGATGAACCGGGACGGAATGAACCGGGACGGGATGAACCGGGACGGGATGGGATGAACCGGGACGGAATGAACCGGGACGGGATGAACCGGGATGGGATGGGATGAACTGGGACGGGAGCAACCGGGATGGGATGGGAAGAACCGGGACAGGACGGGATGAACTGGGACGGAATGGGAGGAACCGGGACGGGACAGAATGAAGCAGGATGGGACAGGAGGAACCGGGACGGGATGAACCAGGACGGGATGAACCCGGATGGGACGGGAAGAACCGGGACGGGACGGGATGAACCGGGACGGGAGGAACTGGGACGGGATGAACCGGGACAGGACGGGGTGAACCGGGATGGGATGGGAAGAACCGGGACAGGACGGGATGAACTGGGACGGGAGGAACTGGGACAGAATGAACCGGGACAGGATGGGATGAACTGGGACGGAACGGGAGGAACCGGGACAGGACGGAATGAAGCAGGATGGGACAGGAGGAACCGGGACGGGATGAACCAGTTGGCGTGGGATGAACGGGAGCACTGCACAATCAGGAGTAGATGAACCGTGATGGAACAGGCCAAACCGGGGCACAGCCCAACCGGGAATAGCTGAACCGGGATGGAATGGGCTTAACCGGGGCATGGCTCAAGCGGGAGTGGCTGAACCGGAGCACACTGGAACTGGGACGAGTCACAGCTCACTCGGGGCACAGCTGAACCGGGAAGGGGTACAGGCGAACTGGGACACAGCAGAATTGGGACACAGGGAAGAGACACAGCCGGCCTGGCACGGCCAGTCCCCAGCCCTCCCCCAGCGACCCTGGGCTCACCAGTGGTCCCAGTCTCTGTGGGGGACATCTCCAAAATCCTGTGGTGGGGACAGCTGCTGCTGCACCTGGAATAAAGATGATCAAAACCCCTGCAGCTCCTTGGCGTGGTGCTGAGGGTGCTGAGGCTGGGAGCAGGGATGCAGTGGTCCAGCATGGCACAGCATGGCACAGCACAGCACAGCATGGTGGCCTGCCAGCAGTGGCTGTGGCACACAGAGCAAGGACAGATGCTTTACAAGGGGATGGATGTTCTGCGAGGGATTGGATGCTGTGCTGGGGGATGGATGCTGTGAGAGGACAATGTTCTGCCAGCCCACCCTGCCATGGAGCTGAATTCAGGGTCAGCTCTGGCCCAGCTGTGGGGCTCATGTGGCCTTGCCATGCTGGGATGCTGTCATTTCTGCCATCACCACGTCGTCACCCCACATGCAGCCTGGAAAAACCGCCTGGAGCATCCCCTGGGCATCCCAGCATCCCTGTAAGCCGAGAGCCTCCATCCAGGGAGGGGAAAGGCCACTGAGTCACTCAGCACGCCGTGAGTCAGCAGAAGGACTGGGACTGCGGCCGGACACTTCTGCCCCAGCAGCCGTGCTCCTCCCTGAACTCATCCCGTTCCCTAGGGCAGGAACGGGCCGGGAGAGCAGGGCACGGCCTGGCAGAGCTGGCATCGGACAGGGCACAGTTCACCCCTGCTCCACCTTTCCTCAGGATCCGCTGGGGAGGAAGAGCAGGGCGGGCTGGGGGTGCCGGGCGAGGGGAAGGGACGGCAGGGAGGGAGACTCCGGCGCGGCAGAGCTGCCTGTGCCGGTGAAAGCAGCTGTGAGCCGGAGGAAACCCTGCGAGCACTCACGGAGAGCAGCCCTGGCCCGCGGGTCCCTGATGGGCCATAAATTTCTCCTCAGAATTGTGGCGTGCTAAAAAGTTTCCTCTTGTTAGAGAGCGGGGGGTGGAGGGAGGAGGTGGCAGCTCCAGCGGCAGCTCCTGGGGCAATGTGGGCATTTCCAGAGTGCCCCCAGATGGGTGTCCCATGGCAGGGACTGGTGGCTGCCCATATCCTGTGTGCCCCCACTGCTGGGCATCTCACATGAACGCTGTTTGCCTCACCCTCCCAGACCTGTGCCCCTCATCCCTTGGATAAGAGGCAGCTCAGCAGAACTGGGAATTCCACAAAATGGGAATGAACTGAGGCTGCCCAAATCCTGAAACTCCCGCAAGCCATGGAGGCTTCTTCCAGCTGCAGGATCTGCTTTTCCAGCTTACCATCCCCTGCAAACAGTGCCAAAGGTCCGTGCCAGTCCCAGGGTGTCCTGACATCACTCCCAGGGCTCCCTGGCACCGGAGCTGTGTCCAAGGTGCTGCATGAGCATCTCCAGAGCTGACTGGTGCATCCATGGGGCTGGCATGGTGTGGGCAGTGGGAGCTGGGCCCCAGCTGGGTTCCTGGTGCCACAACCCCGTGGCTGGCACAGGAATGGGTCTCTGCAGAGCCCTGCATTGCCTCCATCCGCCCGTGCTCCACCTGTCCCCCTTCCCTCTGCCTGACCCGCGGGTCTCTGGTGTCGCCGGCTGACAGCCGATCCGGCTGCCTCCAATCCATTCGTTCCAGGGCAGGAACAAAGGCTCTTTGTGGGCTCCCCCCAGCCCGGGCCGGGCGGGGGGGGGTCCCAGCTCCGGAACTGGGACAGACTTCTCCGTGCGACAGGCGTGTAATGCCTTCCAGACCAGCAGCCCCGGCCCTCAGGTACAGCCCGGGGGGCAGGGGGGGCTGGTGCTTCCCACACTGCCTGGGGACCCACCAGGGCACCCTGGTACAGCCCTGATCCAGGAAAATGGGGAAACTGCCCTGTTCCCCCAAATGTTTCACAATGCCCAGTCCCCATGGCACTGACTGCTCCTCCCCACCCAGGGGCTCCGGGGGCTCCCAGATTTGCCATGTTTGGTCTCCCAGTGTTGGGGAGCAGGGATAGACCCCCCTGGGATGAGACCTCTGCCTCACTGGGCTCAGCTGGACTCGAACACTGGGTGTGCCCAGCTGGACAGGACTGTGCACTTGGGATGGGGCAGCTCCCAGTGGCCTCAGTGGCCTGAGCACCCTGAAAATGGGGAGCCACAGGCACAGGGACCAGTCCTGCACATCCCCCAGTGCCAAGATTTGGTCAGGAGCTGTGGACCTGGGGCACTGAGTAGAATGGGATGGGGTAGGATGGCATGGATGGGTTGTGATGGGGCAGGATGGGACGTGATAGGACAGGGTGGGATGGAATGGGATGGGACAGGGTGGGGTGGAGTAGAATGGATCAGCCCAGCACTGCTCCACCAGGGCTCAGCAGGGTCAGGCCCAGTGTGCTGGTGGCCACATGTTCCAGCCCTGCCGTGGGTCTGGAATCCATTTGCCTCGCCGGCCGTGGTGTTTTCCCAGCAGGGCTGGAGCGTTCCCGCGGGGCCGGGGGCAGCCCTGGCCCCTGCCCCATCTGCTCCCTGTTTATTTTCTTACACTTAAGTATCACCTCCAAGATAAACACTCCCTGGTGTGGGGGGCAGGGGGCATTTCTCTGGCAGCAGAGGCAGGACCCGGCCCTCGGGGTGCCCAGCACCCTGACCCCACGATGCCCACCGAGCAGGAGGTGCCTGGCTGGACTGGAGCCAGGGCTGTAACCCCACGCTCAGGCCATGTCCCCTCCATGCTCTGTATCTCATGCAGGGTCCCGTGCATGCCTGAGCCATGCCTGGTGCTGCCCTGTGCCCAGGGGTCAGTTAGTTGGCTGGATCAGCTGTGATGCCAAACCAAACCATGTCCTGGCACCCACTCAAGCTGGCAGGACGTTTGTGATGCCTCAGCTGCATCTTGCACTGCCCGGCTGAGTCAGAGCCCAGGCCACAGTGCTGGGGGGGGCCAGGGGTTCATGTCCTGCACCAGATGCCTGCCAGGCAGCACAGGAAAACCCGGCTGCTGCCACACGTCCTCCTGCCCTGCAGCCACAGCATCCACAGGCAGCTGGGCAGGCAGGGAGCTGCAGCATTCCCTGCTTCCCATGGCCCCTGTGCTCCCCCAGCCAGGGGTGACAGCTCCTGCCCATCCATCCTTCTGTGTGCAGCATCTGGCGAGGCGCTGGTCACACATACACACGTCTGTGCCAGCATGGAGGTGTCACTGCAGCAGGAGGTGGTGGCATCTGGGGTTTACGTGGCACCCACAGGCACACATCCACATCCATGTGCCACTGCACAAACATGTGCACACAGCCTCATACTCACATATATCCCTGTGCACACACTGTGCACACATCCATGCACGCTTGGATGGACAGATGTGTGCAGCTGCACACCCCCACTCGTGGGCACACACGAGTGCTGTCCCCACCCCACCCTGAGCCATCTCCTGTCTGCTGCCCCTTCCCTGCCTGTGCCCTGCCGTGCTCCAGACCCCACAGGCCACCAGCACCCCACAGGTGGCTGTGCCCCCCAGAAAAGCCCTGGGGCAGTTTGGGTGTGGGGACTGGGTGACCCCCCCAGCCTGTCCCTGTCAGCTGGTGGCCATGTGTGGGACGTGCAGCTGAGTACACAGCCCCTGCCATCCGTCTTACCACCTGTCAGGGCCAGGGGCTGCTGTGGACCCCCAGCCATGGCTCAGCAAGACTCTGGGGTGAGAGGGGGGCAGAGTGGGGGTTCCCCTCTGTACAGGCACCTGCCTTCTCCCTGCCTGCTTCCTGCCTGTCATGCCAAGGATGTGCCCATCCCCAGCTTTGCCCTGGCACTGCCTGCACGTACCCTTTTGTGGGGGTCTGCACTTGACAAACGCTACAGAAGGTCGGGGTCCCTGGTGGGGACTGATGCATGGTGAGAGCTGTCAGTGCAGACACAGTGCAGACCCCTGCCCATCCTCACCCCAGGAGGATCCCTGCCCTCTTGCTCAGCCCTGCACGTCCCCAGCCCCTGGTGTGGCCCTGCCTGTCCCCAGACCCAGCAAGACCACCAGCCCCAGCCCATCTCTCTGCCCCCCACTGTGATTTACAGGCTCTGCACAGGCAGACAAATGGTGAAGGAAAACAGGGCAGGGGTCCCGCCAGCCGGGGGCTGCTGTGCCCCGCGGGGGGCAGAGGGGCCGTTTGCTCACAGCCAGCA